CAGGCCTTCGTAATCATCCTCCTGCACACACGCACGCACGCACGCACACACACACACACACGCCTGAAACACATCTAGCGACCATGCTGGGATTTGCTTGTGACAAACAGTAGCGGTGTGAAGTGTGTTTCTGTCTCATCAGTAGGCTGTCAGTGTGTGAGGTTGCAGTGAATGATGAATTGAGATGGCGTGCCGACATCGCACGGCAGTCCAGGTGGACTTTGCCAAAGCCGCCTGTCCCCAAATTATCACCTCCTTTTTGCACCGTCTCCATCATTTCAGCACCTCTGCGGAGCTCCATTCTGCTTCCAACAGCCGGTGAAAAACGGGGTGCAGAGTTGAATCCGTGTCTTAATGGGTGACGTGCACATAGAGAAGGGAAATTTGCAATTTTCAGTTTCTCTGGAGAAAAGTCCCTGAATGACAATAACTGTGTTAGAATGAATAGTTCTATGTTAACTGGAGATTTCAGACAAAACCATTTGGGTGAATAAAAACTGCATTTTTAAATAAAACCATATTGAAAATTCTGGAGCGACAAACAGATACACTTAAAAACAGTTAGACCCAACTGAATTCACCTTGAAGGGTTTGCTTCTTCTATTCAGATCCCCTTTTTCAATCAGGCGCTGATTCAGAAAACAAAACGTTACTTATCGATTCTAAAATGCCATTCTGATTGTAATTCCTCCATGACAGAGAGATGTTGTTTTTCCAGGTTTATGGAATGTCTCACTCCTACTGGAGCTCTTTTCTTTTGTTCCCACTGTGTTTGTGGCTGAAGTCACCTTTAGATTATGCAGTAAAAATAACAGTAATCCCTGCTAAAGGGAGTGTGAGTTGCTGCAAGCAGATAATCTGTGGGGCATGTCTGCCCCACCATATCATCAGCGTTGTTTGCTTTGTGTCTGATACTGAGGAAGAGCAGATACGGTGTGCCGATGGCGGACAAAAGTGGAGCAGAAAACAGATACTGCCTGTTCTTTTTGTCCATCTTGTGACTCTTTCTGCATTTGCTACCTGAAAAATCTCCCTACATCTCAGCATGAAAGGATTTAAAGGCGAGGACTGGGAGTGAGAGCAGCTTCGGAAAACATGTTTGGAATTTTAGGCTATTCCTTTCATTTTTTTTCTAATACCAATTGTATTGTAATTTAAATATTCTTATTTTCACATACTGATAACAAAGACCAAGTCTACATGGATAAGAACAAAGATGGTGGAAAAACAAAACAACTTTAAACATTTGAATCGTGAAGATGATTAAGATCTAACTCTTTTACCAGGTACTGTTAGACAGCTCACATAAATAAATAAATAAATAAATAAATAAATAAATAAATAAATAAATAAATAAATAAATAAATAAATAAAATAACAAAGTCATAATGAATAAAATGTGTAGCTGAATACTCTGTTGTAAAGTCTGCTGTACATTCAGGCTGACCAACAAGACAAAAAATAAAGCAAGAAAGGAAACGAACAAAAAATAATAATTTTTTTGCTAATAGAACAAGCAGTTAATTGGAGTGAAACAAAATTAATAAAAAAATTACAAAAGCTAAATAATAAAAACAGCCTCATAAAAATAAATATCATGGGTGACTGCAGTGGAAATGAAGACATAACCCTTGTTTGATTTTAATTGCACAACAGATTTGTTAAAGGTTTCAGAGAAAGAGAAATGTGAATAAAATAAGTAAAAACTGTCTGTCATTGCTAATTGATGGTGTTATTATATTGTATTGTGCCATACGTACATTTGTTGACGACAACAAGACTTGCTGGATGTGACAATAAAATTGTTGACATTTTAAAATCGTATTTTTAATAATAGCTTTACTTCTGGAAATAATAAAGGTTTTTTTTGTTGCAGTTTCTCCACAAGTTTAGACATAATTCTTCTACCTTAGTTTTATTTTATGTTTCCAATTAGAAGTACCAAATAACCAGTTTAAATAAGCTAGAAGCAAATAGAGATGCAGACAGCCAAACAGGAAGAATAAAGCAAGTGAATTGAAACGAAGCAAACATGAAGAGCACATGAAACCCAATGAGAACTACACATGTTTAAATTGCAGATCTGTCAAAATACAATAAAAACAGGAGGGAATACAACAAGAAGACTCACAGGTGCAGATAAACAAACATATTCCACATAAAACAGCAAAGAATGAATGGCTCTGTATTCATCCCGTGTACCTGCGTCACTCGGGAGGAATTAAAGATGTCAAAGATTAATATCAAAACAGCTGGTCCACCTTTTTTACTGCATGCAAGTCAAGATGTTGACAAATTAGTAAAACTAGTTCTGGAGGTATAATTCTAGTTTGGATATTGATTACCAAGATGGAGTGATTACATGTCAATCAATGTTAAAAGTAGCATCAGGTTGTGTTGATGCTTTGTTCTAATGAAGGCCTGTGGTTCTTTCATAGTACGCCTAGCTTAGCTTCCAGGTATGTGTCGGACAATAAGGTCTACCAAGGTCTAAACATGAGATGATCGACATCAGGTAAGCTCTGACTGTGTGTGATAGAGGGGCAGCAGTAGCTCAGGAGGTAGAGAGGGCTGTCCAGCAATCGGAGCGCTGCAGGATCGATTCTGGCTACCGGCAGAGAATTCTGCTGTTGTGTCCTTGGACAAAACACTCAACCCCTTTGTCTGCTGATGGTGGTCGGAGGGACTGGTGGTGCCTGTACTTTGTAGCCTCACCTCCATCAGCGTGCCCCAGTGAAGCTGGGCTATAGCTCCTCAACCTTCTCAGTGGTACGTGTCTGCCCTGGGACTGTGAGATCAGGGTTCAAATCCCGGTCAGGACCCAATGCCTCCCTGCGTGACGATTAGCTTAAAGGGGTTGGATTTGGGGGTCAAACCACCAAATAGTTCTCAAGCGCAGCCACAGTTGCAGCTCACCGCTCCTTGTGGGGATGGGTCAAATGCTGAGATGTAATTTCATCGATGATAACTAAACATCAGCGTGTGAATGCGTGTGTGTGTGTGTGAATGGATGAACGATTAAGTGTAAAGCACTTTGGGGTCCTCTGACTCTAAAAGGTGCTACAAATTTAGGTCATATATCATTTAGAGGCAGTGCACCAAGCTCGGTTTATTTTGTTGCACGACTTTCATCCCCTGGTCTTTCCACAGCCCTCTGCATTCCCTTGTGCACAATCTAAGTGGAGCATTCAGCTAACGCAAGAGCAAACTGCTGTTTAACCCCGTCTCTGTAAGGACCGTGATGTTTGAGTCCAAACTTTGTTGTTGCTGATGAAGAGATGTATTCCACATTTGTTTAGGACATTGGTCAGGATGATGCAGTATAAGGAGCAAAAGATTTTGTTGTTGGTCTAGCCACACTCCATGGGAACCTCCACAGCCCTGACCAGTCTGGTGGTGTTCCAGTCTCAGCACTCTACTGGTTTGGTGGGCTAAGCTTAGGGATGATGTGATGAAGCAGAACATCTAAGATGTCGACGGCTCATTTGAAACAGCTTTGGCATCATCTTTTATGTATTCCTTCTGTGTGTTTCTTCTGACTGCAGCATTTGGTTCTCTTTTAACACAGAAGAGGGTTGTTTTACCTTTTTGGTGACAGTTTCTACCACTCCTGCGGTCTTCTTCACAGCTAGCCTCTGTTGGCAGCGTCACTTCCTTCTCCGTTTATAAGCAGGCAGCAGAGGGCGACACCATGCTCTCCTCGCCGATGACACAGTCCCATGCGTGATCCATTGTGTAGACCCCATCTTCTCTGTACATGGTTGTGTCCACTTCTCCTTATTTCTCTGGCTTCCTTAATCCATCTTTTTTATTTTGTTGCTTTGACATCAACTTTGCACTATTTAGACTTGGACTATTTTTGAGTCAAGGGCAGGTAGAGGTACTCAAGGTACTCCTCTAAACAAAGGATGTATTTGTGCCTTCTTCGACGGTGTATGGTGGACTGCCCTGTTGACTGACACTCGTTGTGGTGATTACGTCAAGTTGTTCGTTGTCCAATAGCGTGCGAGAACAGTTTGGAAGACCACCGTAGATTCCACCCCTTGACTGAACTTTCCCTATGTGTCGTGACCAGACTATAGCCAAAAAGAGCACACGTCACCTCTCTGTTCATTGAGCTCCACTGGCTGCCGCTAGCAGCACACATCAAATTCAAATTGCTAACACTAGCATACAAAGTCTGAGATAGTACGGCTCCCATCTACCTGAATCCTCTTGCAAAGGCTTACGTCTCAACCCGGCCGCTCCGGTCATCACAGGATCGTCGACTAGCAGTGCCTACACCACGCTCAGGACAATCCAGACTCTTCTCATGCATCGTTCCACAAATGTGGAATGACCTACCAAGCACTACCAGAACTGCGGCTTCCTTTTCAATTTTCAAGAAACTCCTGAAGACCCTGCTCTTCAGAGAGCATCTTCTTAACTAGCACCCCTCCCTGCGCCCGTCCTCCCTCTCTACTGTCCACTCCTTGTTCCCTACTCTCCGATTGATGTCAAGTTGTTGTTGTTACTGTTGTTGTTAGCCTCAAGAGAAACATGCCAATTATCACTTGTAAGTCGCTTTGGACAAAAGTGTCTGCTAAATACATAAACATAAACTATATATTCACATATGTAAGATGGCCCGCCAGGCTACTACTTGAATATATCACATATCAACTCAGACTGTTGAAATATTTTTGCTGCACCAAAATTTGCGGTGCACTGCGTCTGCTTTTTGCTGAGAACAACACAAAGCCAGTTTGTGCTGAGCATGCAATACAAATGAATGGATTCTAGAGTTTAGTGTTAGTAGTCCCACAATTGGAGTGGAAAAAGCCTAATTTCTAAACTGTCTCAAATATTTCTAATTGTTAATTTAAAGCTGGAAATACATAATAATGAAAAAAAGTGCAGCTTTCGTTTTATTAATACCCTTTCAGGGAAGGGTTAGATTTGCTGCTCCCTCCATACCAAGCTCTGAATACATTTTGTCTTGTTTTCTGTGTTTCCTGTAGGTGCAAAGGAACTGTAAGAAGAGAACGACAGGAACACTTTTTTTTAGGTCAGTGTGACCGAGAGCTCAACAAGGGTTTCAGTCTTTCAAGACACCTCCCAGCAAACCTCTCCACTCGCTGTCTTAAACAAAAGGCAACTGTCAACCAACACCTTTCTCTTCCCTAAACACTTTGCTTTGGCCCGGAGAGCCATGGCCTTTACCCTGTCTGAAATCATGGCAGCAAGGCGGCAGCAGTCACAAGCTCAGTCCCACACTCAGAGAGGCAGCAGGGTGGCTGTAGAAGTGGATGAGTACAGCACTAACCCCACCCAGGCCTTCACATTCTACAACATCAACCAGGGACGGTTCCAGCCACCTCATGTCCACATGTGAGTACAGAAATACAGAACACATGATAACCGGCAGGAGTTTGTTTTTAGATGTAATGATGAGTTGCTTTAAGTGTTGTTATTTTTATTGTTTTCATACCAAACATATGGAAAGCCTTGCAAAAAGCCGAGCCTTTCTCTGGTCTTCTTATCCATATATGGGCAAAGGAGACGGGGCCTGTTTCAGAGCCAGAACCGTTCAAACCCTTTGATTGGACACTATGTTGGTTATTTTCACACCTCATCATGTTTACTTTAAATGTTTCTTCATGTTGTCAATCGTTTCTCAGCCAGACAACAGTATGTGTAATTAAATAAACAAACAAACAAACAAACAAACAAAAAAAGACAACAGATAAAAAGTAGTCTGTCCTTTTTCAGGATCAAGGAATAGTCTTAAGCCGGGCATACACTGTGCGACCTTTTCACTTTTTTGAGCCGATTTTCCAGTCGTGCGAGAAGCCACGACATCGGGGCGAGTTTTGCGCCGAGCGTCGTGTAGTGTACAGGGGGTTACGAGAGGCGATTAACACCACGTGACCAGCTGCCGATCAGCAGTCGTGGGCTCGCACGGACTTCTGGCGTGTTTAATATTTTGCTCGTCCCTCGTGAGGGTATCGCACTGTTGAAGCGGCGCTGCGAGCAGCTGCGACCCAAAAAGTATCAGAACCGCTCTCGGCGCATGCGCAATCCTGCATCAACGCCGCTCGCTCGCTATTTCCCTAATAACACACGTTGTTCGTTTTAATTTCTACACGTTTTTTTACTCACAAAGATTGTCAAGAAAGCGTGTTTGTCGTGTTCATGTCAAATTAAACTGATCACTAAACACAGATTTACTTTCTTTATTTTGTTTTCCTCATCCAACCCCCATAAATCCCTGTGTGTCCTCCTGCAGCACTCCCGAAGGACAACAGGCAAAACAAGACAAAAAAGTCTGACGTGTTGCTATTTTTAGCATATTTTTAGGGCCGACGTACAGTGTGAGCAGTCAGGTCGCATGCGAGAACTGGGTCGTGCAGTGTGAGCACATGACTCGTGAGATCTGCTCTGCGAGGAAGTCGTACAGTTTGAGCTGAAGCTGAACGCTGCCAGTGAAAAAGTCGCACAGTGTACGCCCGGCTTTAGTAACGAGATTAATCACAGGAGGAACAGTGTCTGGGAGACTTACCTGAGCAGAAAGTAGTTATATTCAAACACACACGTGGGTATTGTGTGTGTGTGTGGGGGGGTGGGGGGTGGGGGGTGGGGGGGGTTGCACAACCGTAACAACCATATCAGCACCATTATGTTGGAAGTGCCAGCAGCTGAAGTAAACATGTGTGTCAGCAGACTGCATTCCATGTCTTCTAGCTAACACTTTAGGAAGAAAGCCAGTACTTTTTGGCTACTATGGTGCTGTGGTCTTGTCTGTCAACTTAGAAGCAGAATGGCTATTGGAGCTAAATACTCGTGGATGAGATCATTGAACTTGCCTGTATTGGAAGGCTACCATGTAAACAAGTCAAATGTGTAAAGTTAGTTGAAAAGGATTTTGGAACTTCAGGATGTTTTATACCCAGCATGCTGTCTAACAACAACTAAACTTTGGGCCCAGTGTTACAACTTTTTAAGATAAATTTACCATTACAATTATATGAAAGATGTTACAGCATAAGGGAGCCAGGACAACAAGTCAGGTGGGATGTTTTATCATCCCTACCATCCAAAAATGGTTGCAAAGCCCCACTGAGAAGCCTCGATGAACTGAACACTTGGACCTAAGATTTATGTTAATCTCCAAGTTACACATGTACAGTCTGCATCTCTTTCTAAGGCTCAGCACTAAAGTACCATCTGAAACAATCTACTAGATACAATCACATAAACAAATATGTTGTATACACTACAGCAGGAGTGATCACTTAGTTGCTTGACTACATAATAAAGACCACTGGCCACAAAAAGCATGGTCCCCCATGAAGCAGGAGGCATGACGCTAAGACCATGGCAACACATAGAAATCAGCCATCTATTAGAATAACGACATTAAAGATTAGGATTCCAGGAAATGACTGCAACTTAAAAAAAGTATTTCACAGCTCTGGCTTCCTGCCTGAGATCAACTAGAAAAGCCGAGCCCAGGATATTCTAAAGTGTACTCTGAGCGGCCGAGGACTGACATGTCAAAAGACCCACCTGAGACCACACAATACTGGACAAGCATATGAGAGAAGGAGGCATTCAGACCAATGCTCTATGGCTGGAAGGTCTAACAGCTGATCACAGAGATTGTCACACCTACAACACAAGAAACTGACTGCTTTCCACAAACTCTTGACAGTACAAATGAATCAGTTGCTAATGGAGGGAACCCACTCAGACCTCCAGAAAAGGGAAAATGCTTCCAACTACTATCTAATCACACACCCCCATATAACATGAATAACAAATACACAAGTAGAACACAGAAGGTAGTTAGCTGCAGCTCCAGAGGAGTCGAGGTTGACAGCGCCCTTCCTGAGACCACAAGACCAGAACCACAAACATGTGCATGGCCTGGATTGACTAGAAGGAAACATATGACTCAATGACACTCTCACTGATACTTGGAGAAATTGAAACTCTACATCAACAGGACACTAAGAGCCCTCATGAAGAACTCAGTGGGCATGTGAAAGTCAACTGTGAAGACAGGCTGAAAAAGTTAGCATCAAATGTACCAAGGTGATGCTCTGTCCTCACTATCATTCTGCGTAGACCAGATCCACTCCCACCCCATCCCCACCCTCCACCAGAACATCGCAGAATGGCTATGGATGCTGGTCCCAGAGTGGAGCAGTCATCATTCACCTCTAATACTTAGATGACATCAATCTGTACACCAGGAATGAGCGAAGCATTGACTCAATGATTCAATGAAAACCAGGATAGACAGCAAAGACCTCAAACTGGAAAGATGTGGTTGAATAATATACAAGACAGGCAAGGTGACCCCAACTGAAGGAGTTGAGATACCTGGTGACAAAAATGCAGATGATCAGGACAATTACAAATACTCTGGAGTCCACTATGGCTAACCAATCTGATGCCATTGTAGTCAGCAGTATACAGAACAAGACAAAGTCAATACATGTGTTGGTGTTAAAACAACGTTTTGTAATTATTTTGGCTTTTTGACAATCTGTTTTTGCTGCTGTATCGGATATATGAACTCTTATTATACATCTGATCTCCCACATCCTCTCATCTTTTTCCTTTTTTATGATGGAAATGCAGGGCGAAGAAGGAAGAGCTGTGTGTAATCTTTACCTGGAGGAAAGCTCACTAAAGTGGGCCATGGTTATTCACAGGCTCCCCTGTTTTCTCTGGAGACCCTGCAAATGTGCACGCTTGCAAGAAATCCCACAGGACTCAAAAGTTTTTTTCTATTTCTGTAGTTTATTATTTTCTATATCTGCACATTTTTCACAGCATCTCTTGATGATGTGATTTTTATTGTGCCCTCTTATTCTTACTTCTCTTGTTTTCTCTGCTCTGTTAGTCTGTGGGGACATCTTTTCTCCTGGATTCAAATTTAAACCTCTTTCATTGTTGGCTTTCTTTGACTTTGTATTCAGCACCGAGTGTTTTCTTCTTCCACCATTTAGTGCCACTGCAGATTCACTGACCTCTTTCCCTTTTCTCTCATACTTAACTTTTGTTATGTTTTCTCTTTCCTTTGTGCTAGGGTGGACCCAGTGCCTCATGACACTCCGAAACCACCAGGCTACACACGTTTTGTGTGCGTTTCAGACACCCACTCTCGTACTGATGCCATTCAGATGCCATATGGAGATGTGTTTATCCATGCTGGGGACTTCACTGAACTGGGACTTCCCTCTGAAGTCAAAAAGTTCAATGACTGGCTAGGTCAGTAAAGTCTTGTATCTGTCTTTCCATTGTTTCAAGTTTTCAAATTGCTGACTTTCATGTCCACCATTAACACACATTCTTATTTTATCCATTTATCACTTGTATGTTAACGAAAGTTGAGCAATTTAGCCTTATGAATAGAGTAAACTTACTAGCCTAGTGAACTAGACCAAATTCTTGCTTTGCAAAGAATAATACATTTATTTAGTCTGGCTTGTCAGGCTATAAACTTACTGTTTCATGTAGGAACTTTTCAAAAGCTCCAGATTTGAAAACTGTTGTTGGAAATCCAAAAGGGTTCAGATGAAGACAACTTTACTTTGGTTTCTTAAAGACGTTTCACTTCTCATCTGAGGAGTTCTGTCAGTTCTGACTAGAATGTGGGAGAGTCAAGCTTATGAACTGTAACTGTGTATTATTGCTTAACGAGGAGAAACTCACTCTGAAAACACCTCCTCTCTACCCCCATGATGAGTCGCTGGCATTAAGTTGTTGACTTATCGGGGGTAGGAAGGAGATGTTTTAGCGAAACGTCTTCAAGAAACCAAAGAAGTCCAGTTGCCTTCATCTGAACCTTTTTGGATTACCTTGACCTAGATGACTGAGAACCTGAACCAGCATGTCGTTGGACATTTTTCTAGTCTTACCATTTTTGAATTTGAGCCTGATTAACAAATAAATGCACAAAACACTAATCGTTATTTAAAGTGTGTTGTAATGGAAACGTGCCACTAAACACATGTTGATCCCTCCACAAAAAAAAAACACAGATACCATAGCTTTTAGTTTGATCAGCATCTTCCGCTTAGACACCACTGTCAGAGAGTCCCTTTTGATCTTAACTACATTAATGGCCTTAACCAGCTTCAACCTGCTGATCCAGTCTGCCACAACATGAAGAAAAACTCTGACCATCACAGATTTGCACCTGTGAGATCAGAAAATCCTGAGAATGACAATGTGTTGGCCTAAGTTTCTGGGTGACACCATATCAGACGTGATGTTTTCTTCTACGGGAGCTCATGTGGACAAAATGCATTTACAAATTTGTAACCAGCGGTACAAAACTTTTGCCATTCATAAACAAGGTTTTTTTTCTTTTTACACATTTTCTTCTTTGCTCGTATCCTGTGATGAAAGGGAGTCTTATACTTGTCATTTTGCTGGAGGTTGAATAATCTGACGAGGTATTCATTCAAAAATTGCGCTCCCAGGGAATTTTGACGCTAATGGCCATTCGTTGATAACAAAAAAAAAAAAACCTACTTGCTGCTGCCCACTTTGGACGGGAAATACGTTCTATCACTTTAAGATGTTTATTAAGATTTTAGAGGTCTTAGTACATAGAAAACTCTGGCACTTTGATTAAAATTCAGTAGTAACCTCAACTCAGTCCAGTTTATTATTTATATATACTCTGGGAGATGTATAAAGTCCTATCCCAACCTCCATACCCTTTGAATTTCACTTTCATCTGTATTTACCTCTTAACAATATTTTTATTGGCTGCAGCTGAATGAAATACACTGTTTTGACTGATTCAAATGAGAGATAAGACCACTTGAAAAAGCCCCCAAAATGAAAATGAAAAACAGGAAAAATAAAGACCCTTATACATTTGTAAACACACATGGAATACAGGAGATTTAATTAATTGGCAGCCACTTTTATCTCACTAACTGAAAATAGTCACAAAAGGGATAAAAAAGAAAGAGAAAAAGAACAAAAATGTTTTCACGAAGGGATCTGCAGGTGTTAAGGGATGAAGAACAAAGTCACTTCCATCAAAATGTAACCCGGAGCTCTCTGATCGAGTTCCAGCTTAAATATTCAAAGAAATAACATTTAGACACAGATAGCCTTTAATAGAGTTGTTCCTTCTCATCATGTTCATCTCTTATATAACAAACATAAAATACAGCTGCTTGATTTGAAATCCAGTCAACCCTTTTCATTTGTGAAGGAGGTTGAAGTTCAGCAGAAGCTTAGTTTGCTTGTTTCTTTTACTTTATATACACACACATCATCTCACTGGAAGCAGTTTTTAAAATCTTTTGTTTCATTTATCTCTATGTAGCGATAAAGATTGGCTACTTTTTTATTAAATGATTAATGAGATGTGATGTTCCACACACACACACACACACACACACACACACACACACACACACACACACACACACACACACATATATATATATATATATATATATATATATATATATATATATATATGAAATATCATTCTGATTGGTCTTTGAATGTTTGATTTAATATTCCTTTAGGTTCTTTGACTTAATCAGGGAACATACACACTTCATTTTAATTCAGAGTCAAGAATATAGTTTATAAAAAATATTAAAATTATGTTTTCCTAAACTAAATAATTGTACATGACAAAGTATGAATGAAGTGATGGGTATGTAGATAACAGATGATGAATGGAATGATGAAATGTTAGCTAGATGTTTTAGCCAAACCTTTCTTAAATATCTGAGAGAGATTGTGGTGTCTGGGTATCTTTGTTAATGCCCTCTTAAACGTGTCAAATTCTGATTTGTCTAAGTTCATAAACAACGTTGATGAAAACAGGAATTACCTCCAGATCTAGTCAGTTCTCTAGCTGCCTCCTGGTCCAGTCAAACCGGTGAGCAAGTATTTGGAACCATCCTACCTTTTAACCTCAAGGTCAAAGCCTCTCTGCAACGCTTGCGAGTAATTACAGACGCAATGGCTCTTTTAAGAGACACCCAACACCTCAGACAGACATCTAATCTGCATCCATGCTTCTCACTTCTTATTTAGGATCAAATCTAAGTCATATAGTTTATCTGGTATTTGAAGCTGTAATAAAATGATGTTGAATTATTAGACTAACAGAAAAAAACAATAAGAATTTACAACAAGTGGAGCTATTGTTGTCTTCATTCTCATTGTTGCTGCCATAATAATGAAAAAAACTGTGAAACCCTTTTCTGGACAGAGATGTGTCCTGTTAAATCATGGGAGCCACCTAATGAGCTTGTAGTCTAGACGCTGGGGGTAAAAAGAGAGAACTTCTTGTCCTTTCTGTGTTTACTAATTTGCACATATGAGAACTGCTGGGAGTGCACTTTGCAAATCCATCAGCCTGTATTCCAGCAGTGAGTGACGCAACAGGAGAGACAGGAATAAAAAGATAAACTGAGCCAAACGCACCTGCTGCCACCTCTGAAATCAGTGTCTCCTCCCTTCATTCATCGCTGCCTCTCTCACTCACCCCATTATTTCCTCCCCTGCAACTCTTCCACCTTCCTTTCCATCGTACCTCATATAAATATTTATATGGCTGTTCTCTTTTATTCTCTCCACACACAGCTGGGTGTTGCAGGATTGGCTCTAAAGGGGACTCTGTACAAATCATAACTCCATATTCTCTATAAGATACATCTTATAAATTCCCCACTTCTTGTTTTTGTCTCGTCTTCTCCACTCACTTTACATTCTTTAACAGGTTTTCCTTCTTCCCATTCCCTGTTTCTTTTCACATTTCTCTGTTCACTCCCTCCAAAATCAGTCCTTCTGCAGCTCTTATTTTTAGCAGGAAGTCAGCTGGCTCTTGGGGGGCTGCTGGCAGCCTCTCAGAATTTTTGTCAGGGATGGCAGTGTTGCAGAAGAGGCAGGAGAAGGAAGGGGGGAAGAGAAGAAAAGAGAGAATGATTGAGTAGGTAGAAGCTGAAGTGCATGCAAGGAGAGTGGTTGGAAAGTGAAGGGATGACAGTGAAAGAGGAGGTGGAAGGAAAACTTGCATGGAGAGAACTCTTTTCTCCCAGACAGAGCCTGCATTACCTGGGTGATGATGGAGCTAAAAAAACAATGTTTCTTGGCTTTTCCGGGGGGAGGGGCTAGTTTTCATTTACTTTTACTGTCATAATGAACCATCGTGTGAGTCAGCTGCCAATCACTGAAATAGAAAAGGTGTCATGGTTTCTCCACCTTGCTCTTTTTATGTGGCAATACTTTTCCCTAAATCCTGTCTTAGTGTCATTTTAATAATATATACATAATAAACAACAACATGATCAATAGGATATGAGACAATCAGTCACCAGTAGATGTAATGATGACTCAGCAGTAAACACAATGAAAAATGCTGGAATAACGTCAAATGTACCAGGGACGCTTCAAAATGACGGTGACAGTTAAATGGAAACAGCATAAATGATTTTTCTTGTTGACACCAAAACTAAATGAATCTATCAGATGAAAAGCTCTGCTGCCTCAAATGTGATTCTGTCTACCTGGATTCAGACCATATGCAGAAAGTTCCTATAATGTTATTCGTGTTTATATTCAGATTTCATCTTGATGCAGAAAAATAAGAAAATGAATTCATGTTTTTCAGAACACTTATTCATGTTTTGCAAGTAGACAGTATAGAGAAGCAGATTTTTCATGTGGCCCTCCCAATGCAGTAATCCTAGCCCTCCAATCAGGTGCCCCCTCCAGGAGAGGGGATGGTTGAGCAGGGTTGATGGTTTATTCCTTAGGGTCTACGTGGCAGAGGTGAGGTGGTGCTCACGCCTCAAAAAAATAAAAATATATAAAAAAAAAAAACACCTGGGGACCATTGGATGTTAAAAGTCACAAGACACATTTCCTTTTGTCTCACCCAATCAGAAACTTAGTTTCTGGGGCTAGGCGTGGCTTTCTGTGGTGTTTGTATAAACCCTCTTTTTGCATGTCAAATTCTGATTCGCCATTAAACCCAAAATATGACAGTTCTAAAAACTATCCCACGCCACCTTTTCTTTAGTTCAAGCGTTCTAGAGAAATCTCAGACAGGTCATTCGGATTCCTCTTCAGCCATAAAGAACCTCAGACAAGCTGGATAAAATCTGTTGCAAGTTACACCTGACCGCAACAGTTCCTTCAGGAAAAAAAGCTGAACCTCACGACCCCTTCAGGGTCTCAGAGACACCAGTGATAACCTGTCGTGACCTGGAAGCATTCCAAGA